ATTTTCGATGATGGACGTCATTTCCTCGTAATATATAGCAAGAGAGCAGTGCGTCGCTCGCGCACGCGTCTACCGAAAGCGGAGAAAGCCGGATTGAAGGTGAAGTTAATAGTGTTAAGGCGATACATGTTCGAAACTGCATCAGTCAATACTGGTATGTTTTGCTCCTGATATAGAAGAATTACCACTTTTCTTTTATCGAATATATTCTATTCTTTAAGCCGACAGTAGCAACGGGGCAGTAGTGTAATGGTTATCACTGAAGGCTTGCATAATCCTGTCTTTCAGGAAAAGCAACTATCTGTTTCTTTCCGATCCCGGTTCAATTCCGGGCTGCTCCATTTTTTTAGTCAAGATATTGTTGTGACAAACTGTTTTTCTTTTTTGCAAAACAAATCAGCGCTCCTGATTAATTTTAGTGCTTCCCGCTATTCAGCTCAACAGTTCGCAGTATCATGCTTCAACCAAAATCCAGACTCTGATGCAGTACTATAATTCATCTTAAATCTACAAGTATAAACCAGCAGGACCATTGTCTTGCTTCTGGTAAAGAACACGCTCTCTGGCGCTGTCGAAGTCTTTCTTCGTTACTCTCATTCGTCTCTCTCTCAGAGCCAGCAAACCAGCTTCAGTAGCAACGGCCTTGATATCGGCACCTGAGAGGTCATCCTTGGCCATAACATATTCTTCCAGATCGACATCTTCACTGAGGTTCATTCTCGACGTGTGTAATTTGAAAATGTGACGCTTGGTCTTGATATCGGGTAATGGGAATTCAATCTTTCTGTCAATTCTACCCGGTCTAATGAGAGCAGGATCGAGAGTCTCAATCTTGTTAGTAGCCATGATAACCTTGACATCGCCTCTTGTATCGAAACCATCGAGTTGATTAAGCAATTCCAACATAGTTCTCTGAATCTCTCTCTCACCACCCGACTGACTGTCGTATCTCTTTGTACCAACTGCGTCTATCTCATCGATGAAGACAATTGATGGCGAATTCTCCTCGGCTACCTTGAACAACTCTCTGACCAACTTTGGACCATCACCTAGATACTTTTGAATCAACTCTGAGCCAACAATACGGAGGAAAGTGGCAGATGTCTGGTGTGCAACTGCTTTAACCAGTAACGTCTTACCAGTACCAGGCTGACCATAAAGAATAACACCCTTTGGAGGTTTGATACCCATTTCTTCGTAAAGCTCAGGGTGAGTGAGAGGTAGTTCAACTGCCTCTTTGATTTCTTGTATTTGTTGATCTAAACCACCAATATCAGCGTAAGATTCTTGTGGAGCTTTGTCGAGCTTCATGACGCTAACAGTAGGGTCCTGGTCGTCTGCCAAGACACCAATGACTGCCATGTTCTTGTTGTGGAGGAGAACGGAGCAGCCAGGTTCCAACAAGTCTTTGTCTACGAAGGATAGTATCATAACGTATTGCTCTGGACCGGTGGCAGTAGTTATGATAGCGTGCTCATCGTCGATGATTTCTTCAAGGGTACCGATGGCTATAGGAAGACCACGTAATTCATCGAGTTTGGTACGCTCTTCTGAGTGAGGATCCTCTTCAGAAGCTGAGGGCTTAAGGATGGCCTGGTTCCTAATAAATTCTTCCTCCAACAATAAGTAATCCTTTATACGCTCCTGCTTGAGAAGACGCAATCTGCATCTTGTAGTTGGATTGACGGTTGGAAGTTTAGTAATGGCGGAAGGACCTCTCTTAGCTTTCTTGCCAGTTCTTGTAGGCACAGGTGGCTCCCAGCGCTTTTGTTGCTTGTCCTGGGAAATGAGTGGTTAGTGGGTGGTAAGCGCTGGTGATAGAGCCCACTTTATCACCGCCTTGCTGCTTCTTATTTGGTTGAGATTGTTGCTGTCCCTGTAGAGTATGAGATTCACCAGTGATAGATACCCATTTCCATTCTCACCATATTCACTTCACAATTCTCGAAGTTTGAGTTCAAGATGAGACGCCGCCGCGTCATACACAAGGGGTACATACAAAGTTTAAACAAGAATTGTATTTATATGTATCTAGTGATAAAAGTATAATATAAAATAATTATTGTTTCTTTAGGCATCCAGCCTCATTGAGAATGTGCGGGGTGTGCTGGGTGTACTGGGTCTGCTTGATTGTGGCAATAGACTCAACCAATCAAATCCATCACCAATTCTGTGCCAATCTATAAAAGGCAATTGAGTTCGTCAGGGTCCAACAGCTCCACAGCTTTAAATTGTGAGTGACGAATTTCTGCACGACGCGGCATCCAGTGACTGAAATGAATTTTGAGCATTGATGGAGGCTGCTATGTTGGTATAATTGAACAAGTCAGCGCATGCCAATTATGTGATTCGTTAGTGATTGCGCCCTTGTCTCCGTAAGTCCGTCTACAGCTGGCGAACGAGCAGCGAACGAACAACGAACAAGTGGGAGAAGTGCACGCTTAATGAATACGTAGATAAGTATGTCTAGACACGGGCATAAGTTTCCTTATTTAGTGTCGAGCACCCCATATTAGGTCTTCGAATCACCTAATAGGCGATGACATTCCGTGTTCCTGATGACCAGAGATAGTCACGAGGATCGTAATCGAGTTGATTGCAAATTCATAAAAGAAAAACTCTCTTCCAGCTTCCAAACAAGCGAAGCTCCCCAGTAAAAGGACAAATCGCTGCGTCATTTTATGAGCAACGTGTTATCTTCGAGCGGAATTACTAAAAAGATTAAAATTCCTCTTTACGGCTACACCACGATGACCATGTTCAAGTTACCTGACATCTCCCACAAAAGGGCAGATGCTGTCGTTGCGCTATCAACGCAATCCACCAATGACTTGGACAATGTTCACAGGGTGGGTTGGCGTATACCACTAAACACCCCCAGCTGACTCGATGTAGTTTTCCGAGGACAGAAGAATGTCTGCCACCGAATCGCTCCTGATGCTCTCCCCGAAAGCCAGGCCTGTTAATTCAAATACCTACGCCCCAGCAAGCCATACAGCAACTACACCAAAAAGTATGAGTACTTCTCTCCCACAGAGCAACACTATGCGCAAGACTAGATCTTCCTCGCTCGCTGGTTCACTCCCGCCGTCCCCGCCACTCACTCCGGCGACGCCGATCGCATTCCCGTCACCAAGAGTTGCACCTGTGCGGAGAAACAGTAGAGACAACTCACCTGCTTCTCTTAACGACGATCCACTCGACCTCTACGCAGAAAACATAGAAACGCCTTTCAAACTCGATGGGCTCGAAGAGGAGGAGGAGGAGGAAGAGGAGGTCGTAGCAGATGCCAAGCAGCAGCACGATACTTCCTTCGTATTTAATATGGATAGCTTCGCCGGTCCACACAAAAAAACTTCGAGTCAACCAAATAGCAGATCTCCGAGTAGGGGCAGACAGTCGCACCAACCACTCGCACCCGACGAGCTAGACGAAAGAGGGAGAAGCAGACACAGAAATACCTCTAGAGGCAGATCGTAGTAGCATTTGCTTGGTCGTATCACTCTCATTCCTCTTTTAACGCATTTTTCCAGTTTACTCACTCTCGCATCATTTCAACATTTACCCAGATGATTATATTATGCATGCAACTCTTTTGTTGGTGTTATTGTTATGTGCTTGACAATGTGATTATGTGAAGTGAGACTATAGAACAACAAGGAGAAGGAGAAGATAAATAATGCTATCAAGTAATCGCTGACGTGCTCATGGCTTACTGAGGAGTCACAGCCTCCCCAAATCCGTTGTCTGGTGGTGTCCTATATGGCATTCCGAAATAATCGGCAGTACGCATATACACAGAGTTACCCCACCAGTCCACACTAATACTGCCATTCTTGGGCAGTTGCAGTAGAAGAAAGACCAAGATGATTCCGAGAGTAGTCCCTATAAGCAGTCGTGAGTACCACTACCCACGTTATACATCGCACACACCTGCATCTAGAGCTGCTGACAATATAAAGTTGTACTTTGACCACCATGCAAAATGAGTCCTTCGCACGAGATACTGGAATATAAACCCAATACCAATCCACGACGAATAGTTGATTCCAGTAGCAGGTGGAATATACGTTGGACCAGTCAACATTACTGGCCAATTCAAATTTCTCAACCAAGACCTTGGCTTGTGCTTGACATAGAAATACACAGGAATAGGCAACACTGCACCTACAATTAACGCATAAACCTGGTAGTGGTAAATCCTGCCATGACCAAAAAATCGATCAGGACCAACAATGCCCCAAATAACGGAAGAAGTATAGTAAACTCTATTTTGGGGACAGGTGAAGTTTGCGGATTGTCTTACACTGCACATATCATTCACCGAGCTGAACATCCAGTCGCGGATGCCAATCTGAATTAGTGCTGAAATAATTGTAGCTGTGACTTGAACTGCGAATGTAGCTCGCGGAGGAACTTTGATATAATGTCCCAGCTTCGCATCTTGAATGAACGAAAGACCCTCGGACATGGTCTGGATCGAATAACACTTGAATATCATATTCGCTATTGGCTTGCCAGGGAACAAATACCCTGGAATAACTTCACTGATCAGGTTGATGGGTATTTCCTGTCCTGTCATTGCGAATATGTATGATGCCGGCAATATATACACCAGTGGTACCAGCAGCGCAACAAACACACCCCAAACAGGTATCTGTGCGTCGAAGCCTGTGACTGCAGCAATTGATAACGCTAAGAACACCACCATGTAACTCAGATACCACCAGTGAGGTACATCCGGATAGCGCCTCATTAGCTTCGCGTGTATGTCATCTTCCTCAAATTTGAAATTGCGCATGCCATACCATATCGCTTTACCATGGTAGAGAATGGTATGGACAAGAACAGCAGTCGCTACTGCATACCCCAACAAGTATACCATGGAGTATGTCGCAGAGATGTACAGCGGGCTGTAAGCCTCATACGCTGTCTGATTGAATTCACTATTCTCAGACAGTATCCGCGATATATTGTATGAGTTTCCGTATTTATCGTAAGGTGATGAGTCTGAGATGGGTAAATAATTGAAAAATTTGGCATTTGTGTAGTAGAGGATGGGTACGACCAACCAATACAAGGCAAAGAACCCGATAGCTACATTGCACTCAGCCCACCACGGCATAACCAAAGGTGAGCCAATGTATGTGATTTGCGACCAATCGAAAGTCATTCCACCCATACCCAGTCCTGTAAAAACACCAAAGAGTTGGTTAACAGTCGGCGAGCGTGGCCAGATCCAGCATATCCAGCTGAACCAACTCAGTGCTTTAAACAGGAATCCAGGAACAAAGTACCAGATAACAGATGAGACACCAACGATGATAAAGAATTTAAATCTTGACATTGATCCATCATTCTCATCATCTTCAGCGTGTAGGGTGTTAAGGAGTGTGCATACCACTAAGCATTGGGGCCAGAGCAGATAAGCCGGCCAAACCTATTAAAGAAAGTCAGAGATACTTATGCGTTGAAAACCCATACTCACAACAAATCGCCGACAAAATCCCGCCAATCCAAATCCAATACATTGTGAGCTGATAAATAAGAGAATGTCAAATCCAGTGCCAAGCTTGTAGCCATAAAACATTTCGGTGACGACAGTAACATTCATAGCATACGCAGGGCTAACACTGACGTTTGCCATGATGGTGATAAGCGTGTGTTCCTTAATGTTAAAGGGACCTGGATTTAGCGTGAAAGTTTTGCCGCCGAGCCATGCAGGCAGGGTATATAGATCCATCGGGAGAATATAAGCTAGGAATTTACCAGCCGGATAGGTTATAAGCTGGAGAACGATTGGAGTAATTGTAGGAGCAGGTAGTCTAAAGTTAAAGACAGTGTTTACTGCAGCAGCCAGCGCGCTGAAAAAGCCACCAACGACCCAGACTCTGAGAGTCAATGTTGGTATATCAGGATCGTCGGTGTTTGATACTGAAGCCCTCACTTCTGGATAAGGACTGTCTTCTTCGTACTCCAATTCGAGCTTATCAAGAGACTGAGTTGGCGGGAACTGATGTGTGGATGTCGAAGCCTGATAAAGATCATCACTGTCAATATTCGACCATCTCTTCACTCTTTGAGCTGGAAAGACGGGATCTGCAGAAGGCGGACGCAATATGTCGTCGTGTGGATTCAAATACTTCTCATCAAAGTTACTCAGCGGAGGCTGGTTGATTGAACTAGATTCCGAGGGCGGGAGCTCTCCTCTGTTTCCATCCGCTGTCGACGGTGGACCGAAAGCGAAGACATCGGCGTCTGAAGACTCGTCGTCGTCGTCATCATCCATATAGCTATCATTCTCGTAGACATCCTCGGGTAAATCCCCGCCGTCATGACTCGAAGATCTTATCGATCGCGGTATATTACTGTTCAGGCTGCTAGAAGATCGCGCTGTGAAGGGACGTCGCCTCGTGGACATATCTCGACGTTGCGGTTTGAGGAACCACTGGAATTTGACGGCAGATGTTGTAAAATAATATAAAATTGCAACATCTATAACAAATTATTACATATGTGAAGCATTGCGACAACTTTCGCCCTGCTTATCTCGTCCTTGTTGCTCAAACCAAGTCCAACGACGCAAGTTGAGAATGGCAGCGGGGAACTTGATTTACTTCCTTTAAGAAGTAGCGTGGCGATGGCGTTGGAAAGCAGCTGCTCCTGGTTCGTGAATTGTCCAAGTAGATTGAGTAGGTTGCTGTGCACTGACGGTTCGTAGTAGATCCCATCTATCAGATCCGTAACATCTTCCTTGTCTTGTATATCAACCTGCACGAGCGAGCTTATTCTGCCAATCTCCGTCAATATCACCATCACTCGATCTTGGTAGATCTCCAAACTGGCTTCGAATGGCCCCTGTTGAATGGTCTTGGTTGATGGAAATGCATTAGACATGTTTTGTAGCCTGTTATAGCCTTCTGTTGACTGATACTTGCGAACCCAAGATTGAGCTCATCACGAGACGTGTTATCATCATTATCACTCGAATTTACTTTCCTATTATTTCCGCAGATTATTTAATATAACCACTTTAGTAAGACCACCGCATGCGCGTATGAGTAATTTGAGTCAAATTTTCACACCACCTTCTAAATACGGAAACAGATTAAAATTCACTTTAATTTCAAGATGCTTCTTCAACTTAGTCTTTTAGTTAATCTCTAAATCTACTCCCTTATTTTGCTTTGAAAGTAAATTGAGCAGGTCTCAAACAACATAATATGCTTTTTCGTTCATTTATTATTGCAACTTTAGCTAGTCTTTCAATAGCGGTTCCAACACCACGCCAACAAGATCTTGTTGATCAACACTTCAAGAACAAAGTACAAGAGCAAAATCACTTGGAAAGTCGAGACGACTGTACTATTTACGAACCTTACTGGACAGGCGTTGAATGGACACAGTTCGACGAATTTGATCCAGCCTTGGCTGAAATTTTCAGATACCGTCAGCAACAATCAGTCAATTTAGGTTCATGGTAAGTGTCTTGCATTGCATTCGGCAAATCACCTAACCAATCTATCAGGTTTCTCGCTGAAAAGTGGATGGTACCCTCCTTATTCAGATGTGCAGCTGGTCTGCAAGCATCTGAATTAGACATTGCTAGAGGTTGGAATGGAATGCAAAATGCTCGCCAGATACTCGAAAGACATTGGGATACGTTTATTACCGAAGATGACTTTAGATGGTTGTCTGAAATTGGTATTAATACCGTTAGAATTCCCATCGGTGGGTCTTTTTTTTCATTCAGGCGATCCTTCCACTCACATACATCAGGATACTGGGGTGTCAGCAATCAATTCCTTTGGGGTACAGACTTTGACGGACTCGGAGAAGTTTATGGTGGACAATGGGCAAGAATCAGAAGAGCTGTTCATTGGGCTTCTATCTATAACATTGGTGTACTCATCGATCTTCACGGTGCACCAGGATCCGCAAACGGTCAACACATTTCCGGTACCTCAAGTGACAGAGTCGGTTTATTCGTAGATGAATTCAATCTGCAAAAAACTCAAGATGTTTTGGTATATTTAACAGAGCAATTCACCTGGGTTAATAACATTGTCGGTATTCAGATTCTCAACGAACCTGAATACGGCACAGACTGGCTTGAAGCATATTATGATAGATGGTTGGGTGCGATGAGAGCAGTGCCGGGTGCTGAAGACCTGCCTCTCTACATTCACGATGCATTCGATCTCGGCAGATACGCTGGCTACATCGCAGGAAGAAGTGACTTCGTAGTAGAGGACCACCACTCTTACTTTGTTTACACGGACGAAGACGCCAACACTCCTGCATGGTTACACGCACAGCACGTCTTAGGACCTGTTCGATTGGGCTTGGAAAAGGAATCTACTGTCGCCAGACGCAACTTGATTATTGGTGAATGGTCTTGTGCGCTTACTGCTGCTTCGCTGGCCAATGCAGAGGATCCTGCCAACTCTCGCTGGTGGTTCTGTTCAAACGAAGAATCAGTCTATAGAAATGTCAGCGCTGGTTGGCACTTCTGGTCTTACAGGACTGAGGACTGTGACGTGAATCCTAACTGGTGTTTCCTCAGATCAGTTGGTAACGCCTTACCTGCAACTTTCTCTGCATTCGGGCCTGACAGACCACCACACATCAATCAACAAGAAACAGAATCCATCGAATCATTGCAACTGCCTTACATCGACTCTATTCTCGGAGACTTGTCAGGAGCATTTACCTCTTGGTTCGGTTTAGGTGCAGCTCCACCTGGTGTTTACCGTCGTGACAGACCCGAGAATCACGGAAATGGATACGGTCACGATGATGGCGACCACTTCGATGCATGGTACAAACACAACGGAGGTGTATGGCAGACTGAAGAGACTCAATTTGAAGACTACAATGCGACAAAGTCATCTGATGAAGTTGATAGTGAAAATGCACGCCAAGCAATCAATAACGGTGCCTCACAAGTAAAGCCAATGTTGAACAACTTGCTCGATCCAAGTTCATTTATCGCATCGCTTCAGTCAGCAACGGCAAATCCATATTCCGCAACAAGCTACGATCCAGCTACCATGTCCGAAGCCGCTGCTAGAGTTAGAGGATACAGTGACGGATTCGGCTTAGCGAGGAAGTTTGCAGCATTCAACTTGTCGAAGGTTGGATTTACTGGGCAATGGATCAATACAAACGTCGGTCGTTTACTTGAGAATGACGATTTGATGCAAGAGAACATTCAAACATACGCTGATCACTTTGGACGTGGTCTGCAGGACGCTGAGTCGAGAGTACTTGAAATGTTTTAACTTAATTGGATTAGATTTTTGCTTTTAACTGAAAAATGCTTTTATTTATTTTTGTAACCACATTCATACACAAGACATTCTTTTGAACGTAATGTCATCATCGTTTGATAAGATTTCTAAGTTATTTTCAGATATTCTGTTCACGAAGAAGGGGTTGCTGCTGGCCAGTGTTGGAGTTATCGCGCTCGAGGTACTCCTCACGCATTTCATCATTCAATTTGTGCCGTATACTGAGATTGATTGGAAGGCGTACATGCAACAGGCGAAAATGTTCAAAGAGGGCAAAATCACTCAATACGACCAAATTGAAGGCGATACTGGTCCACTAGTATATCCAGCACTACATCTCTACGCCTACACGGCACTGTCTCATGTCACGAATGCTGGTACTAATATCAAGTATGCGCAGGCAATATTCCAAGGTATCTATATCTTCACAATGACGATAGTAATAGCCATCTACAACAAGACTGAAGCAGTGAGACTATCATCATTTGATTGATCCTAGGCTAATCAGCTGCTTCCAAATAGGTACCCCCTTACATTCTACCACTGCTAGCCTTGTCGAAACGCTTACACAGCATATACGTTCTCAGGCTGTTCAACGATTGCGTAGGGATAGGCATATTCTACGTCTCTCTGTTGGATTTGATGAAGAGGCGGCATTTCCGATCAGCCGTGCTCTTCTCCTTGGCAGTCGGTGTGAAGATGAATGTTCTGCTCTTCTTACCTGCGTATGCTGTCGTATACGTTCTACAAGGGGGATTATACGAAAGCGTAAAGCTTGGTGTGAGTATGATTTCAATACAAATCCTAATAGCACGGCCGTTCCTGCGAACCGATGGCATAGCTTACTTGAGTCGGGCATTTAATCTCTCGCGACAATTCTTGTTCAAGTGGACAGTCAATTGGAGGTTTATTGGTGAAGATGTATTCCTCAGTAGGGAGTTCTCAAATGCTTTGCTAGCCATACACATCACACTCCTAGCTTTGTTTGCTTGGTTCAAGTGGCTGCCGAGGGATGATGCCGGCTCGTTTGACATCGTTCGACACACATTCAAGCACCCCTCGAGACGACCACTATCAAGTCCCTTGTCAGCGAAAGGTAGCTTCCAACGATAATCAATTTACAGCTAACACAAGATGACAGAGATAGCGCGGATTGTCTTTACGTGCAATTTGATTGGTGTTGTTTGTGCGAGGTCATTGCACTACCAATTCTATTCGTGGGTGTTTTCTTGTCTTACTTCCCAACAAGTGCCCAAGCTCACTCAAATTTCATCACAGATGGTACGCACACCAGATACCTTTCTTATCATACACGACACGCTACCCATTGATAATCAAGTGAGTACTGCTCTGCGTAGATGAGGTTTTCCAACAAACACCAAAGGATCGCACTGTGCGTTGCAATTGAGTATGCGTGGAATGTGTTTCCGTCTACCGACCTCAGCAGCGGAGTTCTGCTAGCTGCTAACTCTCTATTACTGCTCGGACAAGCATATGCATGAAATTGTAGAAAACGGGAAATGTAAAAACAATGTATAGATGTGTGTATAATTTCCAAATCTGGCCGGATGGGGATACGGGGGATGAACGGGTGAAAGAGATACAGCAACTTCATCAGCGCTAGAAGACGCTGCATTATCTATTAAAAGATATGAAGAATGACAAGTCGAAATTCTCAGCTTACGCGTCATCATCAGCTTGATAGCAAACCATCATGACGGCGGAAATAAAGCCAGCAGGTGGCGTACAGAGCTACTATACGTCGAAAATAGAGGAATCTGAGTTAGCTATTCACGAACGCACGCAAAATCTGAGAAGATTGGAAGCCCAGCGAAATGCATTAAATACAAAAGGTGGGATTGGAGAAAGTTGACTGCGATGAGGCCATGCTAACAACGACACACCAAAAGTACGGCTGCTTAGAGAAGAATTGCAATTGCTTCAAGAACCAGGCAGTTACGTTGGAGAAGTGGTAAAAGTAATGGACAAGACTAAAATATTGGTTAAGGTGCAGCCAGAAGGTAAATTCATCGTCGATTTCTCTCAAGATATTAAGCTTGAAGATCTCAAACCCTCATTGAGAGTTGCGTTGAGATCGGATAGCTATACGCTTCACAAGATACTTCCTAACAAGGTTGATCCATTAGTCTCACTTATGATGGTCGAGAAGGTGCCTGATTCAACTTATGAGAACGTTGGTGGATTAGACAAGCAGATCAAGGAAATCAAAGAGGTTATTGAATTGCCAGTCAAGCATCCAGAGCTATTCGAATCTTTGGGTATTGCTCAGCCAAAGGGTGTTTTGCTCTATGGTCCTCCAGGTACTGGTAAAACATTGCTTGCAAGAGCCGTTGCACACCACACAGACTGTGCGTTCATTAGGGTGTCTGGCTCTGAATTGGTTCAAAAGTACATTGGTGAGGGATCTAGAATGGTGAGAGAATTATTCGTTATGGCTAGAGATCACGCTCCATCCATCATATTCATGGATGAGATTGATTCCATCGGTTCATCAAGAGGTGAATCAGGCACTGGTGGTGGTGATTCTGAAGTACAGAGAACTATGTTAGAATTGCTTAATCAGTTGGATGGATTTGAGTCTTCTAAGAACATCAAGGTCGTTATGGCTACCAACCGTATTGACATATTGGATTCCGCTCTATTGAGACCAGGCAGAATCGACAGAAAGATTGAATTTCCACCTCCAGGCCCTGAAGCTAGAATATCAATTTTGAAGATTCACTCAAGGAAAATGTCGTTGCAGCGTGGGATCGATTTCAAGTCATTGGCGGAGAAGATGGGTAACTGCTCAGGTGCAGAGGTGAAGGGAATATGTACAGAGGCTGGTATGTATGCGCTAAGAGAACGTCGTCAACACGTCAGCAACGAAGACTTTGAATTGGCAGTTTCCAAGGTATTGAAGAGAGCTGCGGAGACTAACACATCGTCAAACAAGCTGTTTACTTAGAGTATGAAAGAGAGAAAGATAAAAGATTTGATTTGATTTGATAACAATGAATTGATTTAACTGTTCACTTTGCTTTATTCGCTGATGTCATTGAGCAGCAATAATAATAATAATCCAGGTATGTTGGGTTGATTTGCCAGGTATACGTCAACTCAATCCAAGCAGAAGATCTAATAACATTGGTAAAGTCACCTAGTGTTCAACGTCCTCGCATACCAAAGCTACCAACAGAGCTTCATCCACTGCCACCAGACATATCGGCGTACTTTGTCTACCCATTGAGCTTAGAGCCATATACATTGGATCTCCTGCCAAAACTACGCCATAATGCCAACATGGAGCATGACAAGCACGTCAACTACCTCAATGAACGCAATGCATTGATTGAGAGCAAGAAGCGGGAGGAGATGAAGAGGGTGGCACCAGGCTGGAATGGTGCATGGGATACGCTAGAGCCATCAACGCTGAGCAAGAGCAAGGGTAAGAGTGTGGATGATGAATTGGTGGAGGGTTTGGAGAGGCTGGCCAAATGAGTTTATGTATAAATGTGTAATTCTAGATAACAATGAAATTCTAATGAGATTGCTCTATTCTGTGGCTGGGAGTGGTGCTGGAGTTTCCAGCGGTTGATCGGATAGATCGGTTGGTTGTGATTTTGACTCGATTGTCTCAGCGTTGTCCTGTTCTTTTTTCTCCTCATTCTCCCCTTCCTTCTCCAAAGCATTCTCCGCAGCACTCTTCATTCTCTCCTCCCTCTGTTTCTGCACTTCAGCCTGCTTCCTGCCGGCTTCAGAGAGGTCTTCGCCAAACAACCTCAAGCTCAAAGCACTCCTTTCCTTCTTATCAACCATCATACTAACGCTTGTCTTAGATTTCCACAGCGGGACATAGACAGGCTGACTAAGGCCATTTTCGCCATTATCGAGGCTGAACTCGACAATATGACTACCAGAGTGGGTGTTTTGGAGAACATCCCTCAGCTCGCCATTCGCACCACCAATGGAGCTAATGACAGGATGGTAGTGCTCGACGAATGACTTCAAGTCATCAGGTGTACCTCTGAAAATGGCCTGTGGAGGGAGGTACTTTTTTACGAAGCTTACACTCTCATTAGTCACTCTCCATTTGCATCTGTTCACTATATCCTTCTCCTCGTCCGAGAATGCCCTCTGATTATCTTGCTTGACAAAGAGCTTTACACCGCTGCTAATCAGTCGCAGTCTCGTGTAATCGTTGCTGTGGAGTATGTTCCTTACTAGATCGGATGTCAGATATATCGTTCTACCTGCTTCGCGGTTGGGGTTTCGGACGAGTAGGTTGCGTCTAGGGAACGTGTCGTCGAATTTGTAGTACGCGGTGAACGATTTCACATCCTCGTCATGCTCGTCGAGGTAGCTGAATGGATCTTCTTTGAACGTCGTGTCTGGTTGGACCTTGCCTTTTTCTGCACTAGGTTCATCTTTCTTGGATTTCTTCTGTGGACGTTGATTGTTTGTAGTGAGCGATTGTGGGCTTAGGGGACGTTTGGTGGAGTCTGCTGGGGGTTGTTGGGGGGTTTCATCTATCTTTTCGAGCGACTTTTCCTCCTTCTTTTCATCTGTTTTATCTTGTGTTTTCTCCTCCTTCTTCTCAAGCACGGCGATAAAGAAAGAGCCAGTGTCCTGTTGGTGAGAGTAGACACGGAGGCATCTCTCCAAAAGCATGTTATCAGCGTCTTGTTGAGAAGGTGGCCACATAGTTCTAGGCAGTTTATCATTCAGTCTGTCACGCTCTCTCTCATCTCTAGCATTTTCAATAAGGAGATCTCTATCACCAAAGTCGATTCCATCTCTAGCCGTATTGACGTGCCAATGTTTGAGACCTTCTTTCCGCTTAAGTTGTGGGAGTTCCTCAGCGGCGTCTACGAGAGACATTTGAGGGTTATCTCTCAAAGCAGCAGCTATAACAGCCTCATTCTCAACCGGATTAATTGAGCACGTCGAGTAAACCAACCTGCCACCCGGTTTAAGGAGTTGTATACCGCGATTGAGGATGCGTAGTTGGAGGGTGTGTAGGCCATTTCCATTGTTGGGAGTCCAGTGAGACCAAATTTCAAGGTTTTTGCGCACAGTTCCATCACCAGTGCATGGGACATCGCAGAGAACTCTATCGAAGAGGAATTTAGATCTGGCTTGGGTGGTGGGGTTGGTGGTGTAGATGTTAGGGAAGCTGGTAGCGTCATGATTAGTGACCATGATGTTCGGTGAAGGAAGGCGTGAGGTTTGATGTACGAGCAAGTAAGCGCGTTTGTTATCGCTGTCGTTGGCAACTACTAGGCCGGTGGGGTCGGTGTGTGGATCGGAGTGGAGGGCTTCTAAGAGCTGAGCAGTTTTAGAGCCAGGAGCAGCACACATGTCAATTGCAGAGTGGTGTGGATCCATTTTAAGGAGGAGTGGAGGAATCATAGAAACAGCCTCTTGACGGCTAATGTTTCCCGCTTCATTCTCGTAAACAAGGAAGTTTTGGAATTTCTTGAACTCGGGGGATTTTCTAATTTGCTGCTTAGTGAGGTTTAGTTGCCAAGCTAGACCGTCGGGGTACCTGAGGGAGGCATTAGAAGGTAGATAATAAATCAACATCTAACCCACCAATCAAGCTGCTTTGGAGGTGGTAGCTGTACACCATCGAGCTTAGCCTGTGATAGGAAAGGAATATAAGTCTTCTTGATGTGTTGATTGAGATCGTTGGCCGTGGATTTATTGCCAGTGATTCTGAAGGAAGTTGGGAGGAGTTGTTTGGCAGTATGGATAAAGCTGTTCCACTCTCCATCATCCAATAGATTCTGTGACTTGTAGTATTTGTCGAATAGAGGATTCTGATTGGTGAGTCCTTTTTGTTCTGTGGGCTGCCTAGTGTTTTTTATAGGCTGCTTCTTATTTCCCCATTTCTTTGGCATTTTTGAAGGATCAACGTTGGAAACAACAGCGATGGCATCTAATCAATCAATTGCAGGTGGTTGGAATAATTTGAATCCAAATCTAAATAAATGGATTGAGGATTATCTTATAGAAATCGGTTACACCCAAATGACTCCTGTTCAAGCCTCTACAATTCCTCTATTCAGGGCTAATAAGGATGTTGTAGTCGAGGCTGTCACTGGCAGTGGCAAGACGCTGTCATTCTTAATTCCCATCCTAGAGAAATACACTCAGCTACACTCCCAACTCCAGCCATCCGATGTCTTCTCCCTGATCATCACCCCCACACGCGAATTAGCCATTCAAACGTACAATCAACTCCAACTAATCCTCTCTGCTGCCCCTTTCAACCCTCCTCCTCCCCTTCTACTCGTCTCTGACCCTGATTCCTCCGTTCACGACGACCGCAAGCGCTTCTCCACACTCAACTCACACATCCTCATTGGTACTCCTGGTAGAGTTGAGGAATTCATCGGCGGCAATAAAGGTACAAAAGGCCGCGGTAAAGGTACTGGCAGGTATTCCAATTTCGAAGTCTTAGTCCTCGATGAGGCTGATAGACTCCTTGATTTGGGTTTCATGGGTGTGCTCAAGTCCATTGTCTCACACCTACCCAAGCAAAGACGCACAGGTCTCTTCTCTGCCACCATGACCGACCAGTTAGGCAACTTGATAGCCGTAGGACTGCGCAATCCGAGCAAAATTGTCGTCAAGGTGACTAGCAAATCACGCAAACAAGAAATATCGGAGAGGCGCACACCAGCAGAGCTACACAATACCTATATTATCATTCAACAGCGCGATAAATTGGCTTATCTGCTAAAATTCCTCAAGGACCAACTATTAGACGGTAATAACAAGATGATAGTTTACTTCCCCACATGTGCCACTGTAGACTATATTTACACCATCCTCAAGCAATTACCGGGGAGTTATGCGCCGTCGTCATCTTCCACCACCTTGCACAGCCTCCACGGCCACATCCCCCCACCCAAGCGCACAGCCGCACTCACCGCCTTCACTAATGCACCCTCAGCCATCCTTCTCTGTACAGATGTAGCAGCGCGTGGAATAGACTTGCCAGATGTAGACATAGTAGTGCAATGGGAAGCACCTGCGGATACGCGCTCCTTCTCGCACCGGGTGGGCCGGACCGCTCGAGCGGGAGCGCGAGGCAAGGCCTTGCTGATGTTATCTGCGGGTAGCGAAGAGGGATATGTGGAGTTTGTACGTGGGCGGCAGATCCCCCTAACGCCACACGCGCCCATCACACTCACGGATGCACCCGACGCAGATGAGTTGTGTGGGCGTGTGCGCAGTGTGCTTCTACGCGATAGGAAACTGCACGATATGGCCGTCAGGGCACTCACGTCTACTGTGCGCGCCTATTCGAAACATGAACAGGTGTTTCTGTTCCGCGTTCAACAACTAGATATTGCGGGGCTGGCTACCGCTCTTGGCCTTCTACGTCTGCCTAAAATGCCCGAATTGAGGGGGCGTGATGACCTCGCCGCGTGGCGCGATGAGCCTGTAGATGTGAGTTGCCTTTGAGCATTGAGCATTGCGGTCGTGCTCCTCTCCTATCTCCCATCCCGCACACCCCCACTCACACACCTCGCAGTGGGATACTTACGCTTACGCTGACTCCGCACAGGAAGCTAAGCGTCTCAAGAAGCGGGATGAGAGTAAGAACGAGAATGAGCTCAAACATCCCTCCAAACCACTCAAAGCTGAGGCTTGGTCCGTCAAGAAAGGCAACCGCGATAAACGCTCCTCTCAGAAAGAGAAGCGCGAGGCTAAACGGAGGCATGATAAGGCTGAGAGGATGAAGCAGCGTGAGGTTGGCAGCGCTGACAGCGCTGATAGCGCCGAAGAAAAAGAAGAAGAACAGGACTGGAAAGCTCACATCCTCGAGACACGTGAGGCCAAGAAACTGAAACGACGCAAGTTGGACAAGCAGCAGGATAAAGACGAGGATGCAATGGAAATGGATGACGATGAGGATGTAAATGGAAACGGCAATGGTTTCACATTCGACGATCTCTAACGTATATATGGATATTTTAGATAGATATACTTATAATATATTACACTCTTCCTTTTCTACTTGTCCAACATTCTAAGACGACAAGGTTGACACGAGATTCTGCCAAAAATGCATCTCCCTATCGTCGCTTTGTGTGTTGTCGTGTTGTGTGTGTCCGGGGGGAGTAGAAGACGTGAGTGAGTTAACATCCAGCCACTGGTTGAGGAGTGCTTGAGCATGTTCACCGAGCAGATCCATCTCAATATCGCTTTGCGCTGTTTGTGGGGTGTGTGAGGTGTGTGAGTTGTTTGTACCACTCGAACCCGCGCCGTTAACCACCCCAACATCCCCAACACCCCCGCTATACTCCAGCAGCGCAGCGTCCGACGAGCTCGTCGTGCATATTTCCGGGAAATTCTGCGCACCCAATGGGAAGGATGGGTTGAGCGAAGCGGCTGGATCTGGTTCGATCGGTAGCTCCGACTTGATTGTGAGTGGGTGAGAGTGAATATCCAATCCGCCTAAGTTGAAGTTGGTGTGCTGGGTGTGATCGGGGTGATGGGGGTGCTCGGTTTGAGTATGCACAGTGTGCTCACCATGCTCACCATAATCACCCAACTCATCCCGTCTAACGTACCCACTCGTTCTTCTCCGCTTAGGCCTATCTTTGCCAGCCGCTTCACCCGTTTCGTCTAATTCTAATCGGCTCCTGCCCGCCGCAGACTTCGCACCTCTACCTCTCACACCACCGCTTTTGCTTCCTCTGCGACCTCGACTCCCGTCGGCGTCTCTACTAACCTCACTCGCGCCTCTTTTGAACAGCTCGAGCACAGCGAGTTCGCGCACGGTCGCCTCGTCAACGCCGGTAGTGTGATGATCGAGGAACGCGCGCAGCTCATCAGCCTCTGCGCCAGTAGGGGTGAGTACGAGAGCGATACCGAGGATCATGAGACTAGTCATAATGCGATAAGAGCCCGCCGAAAGTTTCGCAGGACGCGTCACCGCCCTATCCTGATACTGTTTACGTGCGACGAGGTCAGCCTTGGCGCTCTCAATAGCTGCTACCCGCGACGGAGAGTACTTGGTCGAGTGCGATTTGCCCAGGATTAGATAAGGCCGGTGTAGCGTTATCCGCACGAAATAAAACTCCGTGCTGAGAAAATAGCGGTGGGTGGACAAATACTTTAACGCACTGTCGTGCGTTAGGTCTGGCTCGTCTAATTGGAAATAGGGAGGGAGAGCCTGCTTGAACTTTTGTAGCTCCCCGTCTAGCTCTAATATCACACTGTAGGGCGGCGGGCGCATTCCGAAGGCTGCTGTTTGAATTCGCCCCATTAGCTGCGCGAGTACGTGGCGGAGGATCGTGTAGGACATTATCGTTGGCGTGTGCAGCGAATGTGTTGATGTCATTTCCACTCCTCCCACTTCGCCAACTTCACCCGCTTCTTCGGCACGTGATTCGAGATCTTCGTCGGACATGTTGGTCGGCGGACGCGTGTCGCAGTCGGCGTCGCTGATGGCGAGTGGCCGGCCGAGGAGGAGAGAGGACATGCGGTCTTGGTGGTATATGTATGACCAGACTTTCCGCCGCAACTCTTGATCGAGTGTGCGTGAGATGTTAAGAGCACTGGGGTCACGGTGCAGACCGAGAGCCTGGGCGGTGTGGATGGCAGCACCGAGACTGGGAGTATGTTAGAGTGTCTACCTTCCTAACAATCAAAACCCACGGTACAAAACCCTCGCTCGCCCTCCTCACCAAGATCAAGTAGCGGGCAGTGAGCAAGCCACACAAAACACTATCCAAATCGTCATCCTGCATCGCGGCGGCTAGATTTGCGGATCTGCGTGAAGCTCCGTAAAGGGATTGGTGGAGGTGGGTGCGTGTGGGAGTGTCACCCACTAGATTGTCGGGTGCAGTGAGAGTTGCGATTGCGAGAGTGATGAAAAGTAGTGGAATAAAGCGGATGGAGTGGGGAGTGAGTGAGCGAGTACCAGATTGCAGACAATGGTGTAAGGAGTGGTAGGAGGAGTAGAAGGTAGGTGAGAAAAGAGGATAGCGCCAGTCGATCTCATTGAAATAGAGACCGAGAAGACCATCTTGGAGGTGTTTTCTGGGGAGACAAGCAATAGCGTGGTCTAGATGATTTATAGGAATACCAGAGGAGGATAACAACCTGGAAAGTTTATCAACGTTTGATTCTTGTTGGTGGAGGTTGAGGAGGGAGTTATCGCTGACGCTGGTCATAGCGCTGCTTCCAAAGAACCTGCCCTTATCTAGTCTGCCTTGGTTGCTTTTTTGGGTGTTATCGTGGGTATTCTGGGGGTAATCGTGGGTGTTATCGTTAGTGTTATCGTGATGGCTATTACATTTGTCTGAAAAATGATTGGTCAAGAGATTAGTGAGGTTATTGACGGTATTAGTTAGAGCATCTAATCTGCCATGTATGTCTAAATCAGATTGATATGGATCGTGTACACCGTCGATGAATTGTCTACAGAGATGTGGAATACGCCTGGCAATACACTGATCACAGGGCTGTTGACGATTACATTTCTGTTTTCTTCGGTGGCATTCGTAGCACGAGTAGTGAACGCGCTTCCTTTGAGATTTTGAAGATGAGCTCATAGATGATGGTGGTAAGGGGTTAAGGAGGGAATTACAACTTTTTAATTTCATTTAATAATTCAAATAATTGGCTGGTCTGTTCATTGGATAGCTTGGCCAGGAGATGGTCGGTGTTGAGGGTGGAAGAGCCAGTAGACAGCTGATCCAAGTAAACCTTCCAAGAAGACAAGAATCCTATTATTTGTAGTGGGTTGTCTATGTTTCTAAATAGTGGCTGTTACTATGGTTGTCATCTCTAACTAGAGAATGTACCCACCGATGCCTTCTAAACTCATCTCTCAAGTAATTATCACCGATTAATCTAAATTCCTTTGGTAGCTGTCGATGTAAGCGGTGTAGCTGTCTATATAACTTTATTGGTGGGAGTATCTCTTTTGTAAAGTTCAAATTAGCCATGACTATTAGATGTCAAGTAGGGCTATTAATGTCCAAGTGCTTGATTATATTTCAAGCTGGACTATTGAATTCCAAATTGGACTATTAATGTTCAAGTAATTGTTTATAATTCAAGTGTATCACTAGTAAATGTTTTAACTATGGTTGTATATTTGAAGGGAAGTTTCCTTCTAAAAAGGTAGTCTTAATAAGTAATTCTAAGAAAATATACTCAACTCACCCTCAATCTGCTCAGTCCACTTATCCGTCCAACCATTTGGACAAATTGATTTATACGTTCTATGGAATTGCTTGCATGGTTGAAAATCTTCTCCTTTAGCATTTATACACTTGTGGTAATCAACGAATGCCTGCCAACAGTGTTTGGTTTGATTGGTGTTGGGGAATCTAACATCGAATCCAGCTGTTTGGAGTACGTATTTGCTGATATTCGTTAAAATATCTCATTAAAATATCAATTCAAACCCACGAATCACTTTCACTCATCTCTCCTCGTTGTTCTGGTACAACGATGCAAAATGGATAAACTTCGATCTCATTTGGAAAATAAGCGTAAATTGGATCATAACGGTGACTATGGTGTGCACAAGTATTTAAAGAAGTCGGAATTTGATCAATTGGAGCAGCCACAGCAGCAACAGCAGCAGCAGCAGAAACAGCAACCCCACCAGCCACAGACGCCGCTGCGACAATCCCCGCAACCACAACACCCACCAGACACCCTCCCAAAGGACCCCCTTACCTCCAACGAGGACTGCATCAAGCGTCTTCGCCTCAAATCCCAACCAATCCGCCTATTCGCTGAATCTGATAAAGAAAGGCGGCTTCGTCTACGCGCTATTGAGCTGCTCTCTACTGAGTCTTCCAGCAAAGGTCAGCAGAACGACCTTCACAAGGCTCTTGAAGGTGTAGGTCAGGCCGAGTTAGGCCAGCTCGACACTGGGCAGAGTGTGCTTAGTGGTGAAAGTGCACACCCCACACATACTTACAAACCCTACACTGACGATGAACTGCGTATCACCTGGCAGATGGTCAAGGTACACCACGACAAGCTCTACGCCACTATCTACAAATGGCTCAAGAATATGCTGCGTTTGTGGGACGCTGAGCTGCAACAGCGTCCAGACGAAATTAGACGCTCGAAGCAAGGTCAACTGACCACCGCGAACCAAGTCCAAACAGCTGGATATCTCAAACCTCTTTTCAAACTGCTCAAAACCAAAACCATTCAGTTGGATGTACTCTGTCTTCTAGGCGAAATACTCCTCTATGCTCAGGAACGTAAATACCAGAATGCTAACGACGCTTACCTCCGCCTCTCGATCGGTAATGCCCCTTGGCCTATCGGGGTGACTATGGTAGGTATACACGATCGATCTGCGCGCGAGAAAATATCTAGCGGCTCTGTGGCTCATGTCCTCAACGATGAGGTTTCGAGAAAGTACATTCAGTCTGTCAAACGCGTTCTCACTTTCGCTCAGTCGAGGTATCCACCCGAAGACCTCTCGCAGATGGTGGGATAGAGATGAAATGTCTTGTAATTGTATAAGCAAAATTATTTGTATATTTTAAATACACCTTTGTGTAAAAACTCCACTGCACATTGCACGCTCTACTCCTCCTCACCATCCTGTACATCCAGTCCAGCCTTAGCGAAGCTGAAATTGCTATCGTGTTTCCTCGCTGTTTTTCTTTCTGGCTGCGCAACGGCGGCTGGTTTACCAGTAGGTGCGGCAGGAGCGCCCTTGCGCTCAAGGAGACTCTGCTCTCTCGTTGCGGTATCTACCGGCTTAGCGCCACCAAAGATTGAAGAGGGGTTTGAGCCGGTATGAGCCGTCTGGGTGGTACCTCTCGGAGCGAGCTGCAGTTTCCTGCGCTGGCCAGGAGCTTGAGACTGTGAGGAAGCCGAAGCGGGAGCCTTGGCAGATCTCCAAACTTCAGGTTCTTCGCTTTGCTGTGGAGGGGCGGCACCCGCTCTAAAGTTAGCGCCACGCGACCACTCCTTCTCCTCTGCGCCAGCTCCACCAGCACTACCACCGAAACCGAAGCCGCGCTCCGAACGAGGCGGCGCGACTGGCTTAGCGGTGCCTCTCCAGTTGACGTTGTCGTCCGGCTGGGTGTTGGTAGGTTCAGCGGCAGTCATGGGGCGAGCGGATCTCCAGGCATCCTTGTCATCAGCGAAGGACCCACCGAAACCACCCTTCTTAGGTGGCTCAGCGACGGTCACGCGCACAGGCCTCGCTGCCAGACTCTGCCCGGTTTTTGCAAGTGCACCTTTGAGGTCGTCGAGGGTGGCGAACTCAGCATAGCCAAAGCCTTTCGGACGGTCGGAGATATCCCTCACTACCCGCACACTAGTCAGGGCGAGCTCGGCGAAGAAGGCGGCGATTTCCTCGTCGACGATGCTGTGGTTGAGGTTGCCGAGGAAGGCGGTGTATGGAGGGGCAGAAGGGAGGGGAACGGGTGGACGGGAAGCGTCGTTGCCGAAAGCACCCTCACTGGCGCCGTCTAGCCTGCCACCGAACTCGTCGCGTGCTGCTGCTGCGTGTGGGTGAGAAGAGGCGGGAGTGGATACGGTGCTGGCTCACGGGCGGTTGGTAGCTCATCAGCTACGTCGTCATCGGCCCAGGAACCACCTGGTGGTGCTGTATTGGGTGTTACTGGCCTTGTTCTCTACTCAAACGTCAAATACCCACCCGGAGGCGCAATAAAGTCGTTCAAGGACATTTTAACCTTTTGGTTCTTCTTTGGAGCTGTGGGGGAGGCGTTGGCGTGGCCATTAACACGCACAATCCACTCACCCATTTTGTATAATCACTACGCTGTTTCTGTTCTCGGTTCAGTTGAGAATCTTAATTGGTGGTGGGCTATAAAAAATTATTTATTTTCTTTGGGAATAGAGTACTGCTGGTGCGTGTTCATGAGTGTATTCCCACACCCACTCCAACCACCCCAGCCACACAGATCCAACTCCTAGTTGCAACCAACCAACTCACCGAGTTTTGAGCGCACATGTATAATATTCAGATATTCGCACTCCCTACCCTCAATTTACTCTACTGTCTTTTCAAATAAAATTTTGTGGTCGTGAATATTGCAAATTTCTGACTTTGGTGGGTTCCAGCGTAACAACTTCAACAGTAAGTAGAATTCAAAGAGGGAGGCGTGTGCGCGCGTGTGTGTGTGTGGCTATAGCTACATGAATACGCAGCCACTCTACGCTCTCGCTCTCCCTTGCAACACCCACTCACTCCTCGCAGTGGGTAAGGTCCACGGTTCATTGGCTCGTGCTGGTAAGGTCAGATCTCAAGCACCAAAGTGAGTTATAGTGCGCACATACACACCCAGTCTAACGCATCCCCAGAGTTGAACCACAAGAGAAGAAGAAGGTGTGATTAGTGGATATCCCCACAGACCCCTCTGACTTCCCCTTCAGACCCCTAAGGGCCGCGCTCACAAGCGTATGCTCTACAACCGTCGCTTCGTCAACGTTACTCTCATGCCAAACGGAAAGCGCAAAATGAATGCCAACCCAGAGAAGTAAATTGGTGTGTATCGTGTTCTTGTACGCACGCCAATATCGATCCATCGAGTTACATTTGTTTTGATCCGCTCCGGCTAGTTCACTGTGCCATGGCAAAATTTGCATCCTCCACTGAGGCTATAACGTCAGTGCCCTCGACCAACTTGCTTCTTGCATAGCGGCCATTGTCAAGGTCGTTCTTCTCGGCCCTCTCCTCCGCCTCGAGGATGTCCTTGCAGATACCCGACTCGATATGGCGCTTTACCAGTCTCTGCTTGGTCATGGCTTGGTCAATATCGATCCATATCTTCCTGTCTAGCGTGTGGGCTGCACTGGCCCACCGCTCCTCATCTAGCAGGACATAGTTGCCCTCTACGATGACGACAGCGACGTGCTCATCGATCTGCACACCCCCCGGCGTCGGATCTTTGAGCGAATGTGAGAATGTCGGTGCTTGCAGTGCTACCCTGGGTTCATCCTTGAGTGCGTGGATGAAGCGCGTGTACTCTTGCGCATCGAAAGTGTGAGGTGCGCCCTGCGACCGATTTCAGCGGGATTTCGCGCAAAACAAGACATACGCACACGTCTAGCAAATGCAGCAGCTGGGTCCTGCAGAGCGGCTTCAGCTATCTCAACAACCTTATTACACTCCCCCACGCACTGGAAATTGAGACAGCTGCTCACGCGTATAATGCCAGCCATCCATACTCACGCACACAGCGCTGATGGCGTGGCTGGTGAGTTTATCTGTGAGATGCTTCGTGAAGGCTGCGTGGGCGTGAGTGGGTGTGTGCCTTGCAGCGTCACCACCCACAGCTCTTCCCGGAGCCGGGGAATCCTCCGACGCCGACCAGATATCTCTGTGTGCCAAATAACACGCTGTTTCGATTATCTCCCTTCAAATCGCAGAGAATATCATTCAATACACGGTTGGTGATGTGATCCATTGGTGGTGGTGGTTGTAAGGGAATCAAACTACATTTATTTTATTTGGTTTATTTGCTGAAATATTTCATCTCCCGCTCCTTAGCAGATTACGCTGATGAACCAGCTCGCAGTGCCATACAAGCAAGCCAGCGATATTGACATACCCAGCGCTGTAAATGACTTTCTAACGCGTAAGAATATTCCTCCACAGTCGCTCGAAAGCGATGTATCCCGCTGGAGTGATTTGCGACGTCGCTGCATGCTACAACACGCCCAAAACAGCTTCCCTGAATATCTCCACCAGCTCACGTACATATCCACAAGACTCCCGCGCGACATAATCTCTTTCGACTTTGCCACCCCTTTCCCCCACACCGCCGCCTTCTCTACCGAGGAAAGCTACGCGCTCGCCGATATCCACTACGAGAAGGCCGCGCTGCTGTTCAACATAGCCGCCGCCTTCTCCCAATCCGCCGCCCAGCGCAGTCGCGCTTCCACTGACGGTATCAAAGCTGCTATCCAGGATCTGCAGGTGAGACCACTGATTTGTCTTTCTTTTTCCCTTTTCATTCCCATCGCAGCTGTCTGCCGGTGCGTTCGACTTGCTCAGCGACTCCCTCAGCGCCCTCAAGACCCACACTGCCACCACCCCCGACCTCGCACCAGACTACATCCGCACGCTCTCCACCCTCATGCTCGCCCAGGCGCAGGAATGCTACTGGCAGAAAGCCGTGCTGGATAACCTCAAGAACGGCTCTATAGCCAAGGTATCGATGGGTGTGAGTGGGTGTGCTATGCTACACGCGGTTACTACCCGACTCACACGCTCACACTCACGCAGGTATCCAATCTCTACGAAGAGGCCTGCCAATTCGCCCTCAACTCTACTCCTCCTCCCGCTGATGCCCTTCCTCCGATATGGATCGCGCATATGCAGGTAAAGGCACACCACTTCGCCGCTGCCGCGCAGTATAGGCGCAGTCTCGATGATCTCAGTGCGAGCAGGTAAGTTTGTGTGAGTGAGGGTTTACACCAGCTCATACAGCTCAGATACGGACACGAGCTTTCTCGTCTCAATCTCGCCTCGGAGTTAGTAAAGAAAGCGATAGACTTCACCCATCGCAATCGAGTCCTGGAAGCAGTGAGACACGATCTCAAAGTAGGTTATTGATTGACTGCACAGCAACACAGCGCACACCCGCTCACACACGCACAACGCAGGGTCTGCACGAGACGGTGCTAGAGAGTCTAGCGCGGGGGACGAAAGACAACGATTTGATCTACCTGCACGATGTGCCAACGCCGCACCATCTGCCAGCGATAGCGCCAGCGCGTATGGTTAGAGGTGTAGTGGGGGTGTCACTGACGAGTCAACACCCTACCATCCCTCCAGACGCCCTCCTCTTTGCACGCCTTACGCCCCTTGCTGTCGACGCGGCGTGCGAGCTGTGGGGCAATCGCAAACGCAGCCGTGTGCGCGAACTTGAACAACATACAGCCCACCTCGACAAGATGCAAGCAGAGGCACTACACGCTCTTAATCTCCCAGGGTCGCTGCAAGCGGGTGATCGCCGCGCTGATATTCCCCCAGGTCTACTCAGGAAAACGGAGGAGGTGGGATCTGATGGTGGCTTAAACCTGCTCGACCGCCTCGTTGATGATGTTCAACTCCTCGCTCTTGGCTGCGAAGGCGTGCTCGACGAGGCTGTCGACTTGCTCGCGTTGGAGGAGGACGAAGATGGCCGTGTGCGTGCACAGCAATCTCAGTCGCAGCATGAAAACGATGCACACACAAACACAGCCGGTGTCGCCGATGTGCAAGTCTCGTCTATCGCTCACGCGCCCCTCGCGCAAGAGATACAGTCGCTGCAGCACACCCTAGAGGCTGCGTCGCGGTCAGATGGGATAGTTCAGCAGAAAATGGCGGCAGCACGAGCGGATTTGGAGCTTATATCGTCGGATGTGGAGTGCATCAGACGGTCGTTGCCTAGTCATAGCCATACAGCACACGTACATACTCATGCGCACTCCCTCCCCGTCGACGAGAACACTCGCAGCCTGCGCAGTGCACTCGAGAAACTCGACGATCTCGCGGATGATCGCAGAGTGCTTGTGCAGGACGTGAAGAGTATTGTCAAACGCGACGATATCCGCACCAAAATAATCAGAGTGTTTGAGGAGAGCAAGCGGAGTGAGAGTGGAGTGAGCGAGGAGCACAACCAAAACAATCAGCACACAGACACTGACACTGACACTGACACACTCAGCCAATCAAATATGGCTATATTCGACGCCCTCTTTGAAGATGAGATGCGCAAATACGACGAGATTTTCACAGAACTCGAGACTAATAGTAGCAGCCAAGATGCGCTGCTTAGCACCACGCGACAGCTATACAGCTTATTCGAGAAGCGCAAGCAGACAGACGCGGGTTACGTCGCGCGCCAAGACAAGCTGCAAGCGCTCGACCTGGCCTACTACACGTATATAGAGATAAAGAATAATCTCAACGAGGGACTGCAGTTCTACAACAATTTCAGTCAGCTAGCTCATGGACTGAAAGGCGGGGTGGACAAGTTTATTCATCACCGCAGACTTGAGAGACAAGTGGCGATTGAGAAGTTGTCTAAGCACATAGAGAGCCTCACGCTGCACGAGAGCAGAGAGAGCATCACTAATTCCCCTCTTAAATCCTTTGCGAGGATACCTGATTCTCCTTCTCATCAGTTCGGAGAGTGGGATGAGAGTAAGCCGATACGGTTTGGATGAGATGACGTATGCCAATTACATTCATTTTCTATATGCATTACATTATTCTGCCTTGCTCTTATTGCTGCCATTGCTACCATCCCTCCTGTTGCTGGTCCCGCTCCTGCCCCTGTTATCACCCCGCGCATGCACGACGACAGCTTTGAAGAAATACGCACAAGTCAGCACGAGCATGACGACCGAGCGAGCGCCGAGGTGAGTGTGAGAGGGAGAATCAGAGATGGCTGTGTAGTCAGGATGCGAGTGAGTCAACACGCCGTACAACACGGTGCACAAAAGCGCGATCCACAACTCGAGTGTGTCTATCCAGCCGACGCCATCGCGCAGGGGATGAGGAGTAGAGAGAGACCAGCCGAGGGGACGCGTAACGCCTAGCACGCCCCCAATGAGCGAGCCCGCAGAAGGTGCCAGAGTACCCAGCACCAATTGGGGAAAGAGGGAGTGGGCGTAGTTTGGGTGGCGCGCGCTGCCTAGCACTGCCCCTGTCAGTGCCCCACTCCGTAGCAGTCCGTCTACCAGCGGACATGCAAAATCTACAACTTGAGCCGGGGGCGTAGGGAGATAGCGCAGAAACATGTGCACCGTAACGTAGTTGATGAGCGGGTATGGCGAAAGCAGCTGCGTGTACGGCTGCTGCAGTATACTCGCTATCAATATCGATCCCGACCACGCTAGGACGAGGTAGTTGCCGATGTATGCGGCGATATGGGACCGCTTTGGCGGGCGGAGCGATTCGCTCACGGTTTCAGATTCACGTTCGGTTTCATATTCTGCTTGGCTTTTTGCTGTGTATGCTAGCGATATGCGCGCGGCATCTGTACAGTGTGAGCGAGTGCTGCGCATCAGAAGCATGAGCCACCCACGAAGCGTCGTGATCCACGGGAAGGGATAGAGTACACGGTGCACGTCCACGCTGCTCCCTTCGATCAGCACCGATAGAGCCCTTAACAATGCTGGCCACATGAACCTGTCAATTTGGAAGAAACACACAAATTACTTTCAGAAAGCATAAAGATGCTGACATCTACTAGCTACCAGTGCGCTTCTAGCCTACTCCCATCCTCATATTGCTCAAACCTCGACTCGCACTTCAAGACATGAACGTGAAAATCAATTTGCAATTCAGATACACAAATCCAGACAGCGCGCGCTGAATATATCAGTTAAACAGTATCTCATTTGATTTCTCTACTGTGCGCTCAGCACCGGGGGAAGCCCCCTGTGGACGAGGAAATGGCTCCAAGCCGAGCAACTGGCGTGAAGGACCAGCCTCGACGTTTTCTGGGAGCATTCGACCAAAGAAGTGACTCTCGCCCTCGCCGCCCGGGAAGTCAGATGGCGGCAGACCCTTGATGAATCTGCTCCTCTGATCGACGAGATAATGCGCGTTGTTGATGGTGAGTGGTATGGCTGGTATGTAGAGAACACTGGAGTCGCTCTGTCCGTGATGCTCCGGCTCCACGGCGTGCACTACGTCGCTGTGCCAGTACACCTGGTCGCCAGGTGAGAGACTTGGCGCAGACACCATCGTCTTATCGAGCTGCAAGTGCGGGTGCGTGTGACTGCTCAGCTCCTGCGTCCTACCCTGTGAGCCGCCTGGGAAGTGCGTGCTCTCCAGATCCAGCTTCCAATCGCTGAAGTCCAGATGCTGCGGGGTCCTGACAGGCGCAAAGAATGGCCGAAGAATGATATACGCTGTTGCTAGCTTGAGATCGACTGGCAGAACTTTGAGTGTACCCTCGCGTGGCCCGACCTTGCTCAAACTCGTCCAGCCTTTGTTTTTGGCGCAAGGTTAGAGAATTACGGTCGAAAAGTTTACATCCCTCACTCACCCTGGAACGGTCTGTAGACTGAACAGCCTCCTGCTGCACCATACAAGTCAAATTGCGCATTCAAGCGAGGCGACACGTCGAATGGGTCATGCTCCTCCCAGTTGCCTTGGAGGATGTGCTTCCAGCATGCCCTGTATCCTGGATCCTCCCAGCGCTCCAGAGAACCACCATCGATATGAGGCCCCAGTGCAAATTGGGAATCGCCCGGCTTGCGAATTCTCAATCTGTCCAAGTAAGACATGACAGAACCAAGACTGATCTCAGATTGCGGATCGCTGGCATGGAGAAGGTTAAGGAGGAACTCCTGCGTCTGTCTCAAAGCAGGATGACATCTGGCCTCAGTCTGAGCCACAGAGTGGTACAACTCGAACACCTGGACATCATCTGCAGGGAACCCCCTCACTCTGTCCTTATTCGCACGCGCATAGTCGCGGATAGACTGCTTCCAGCGGAGCGCCTCACCCTCAGGCACACCCCCATCGACTACCACCGAGCCGACTTTCTTGATGCGTTCTAGTATATCTACATCCATACCACTCTTTATCTGATGGAAAGGTAGGCGCGGGATAGCGTCTGAGCCGAGAGCTTCGACGTGCTCGACCTCCATCTTCAGTCTACTGAGAACGTCTCTCCATGATTCAATCAGACTGTCCTTCCACATATTCTTCTTGAGATGAGAAAATCGCTGTGGAAGCTCCACCGGCTTGTCACCCGAGAGCGATGCAAAGACACTGGCGATAGAGCCCTCCTCTTTCTCTTTAGGCGGCGCTTTAGGAGGTGCTTTTGTGGCGAGGAGTCGCGAATATGACCCGACAGCCTTTTTTGTAGTTGTCTTTGTTGCCATGGCACTTGTGCGTTTTGTAATACTCAGATAAACCATCTTGCCTTTGACACCTGGACTGATGATAATCAACCCGATTAGCGAGCAAGACCTTTTATGTATATCCAGCGCGGCTTTCGTGCAATTTGAGGTTACTTTCCAGGGCGCAGCATGGGGCTCCGATGGAGGCGTGGCGTGGTGAGGTGTGGGGTTGGTTGAGAGTGGGGCAGGCGTGTCTTTGCGCTCACAGCGCAGCTTCTCAGTTGTACTACCTCGGCTAAACCTTGATCACATGCGAGCAAGTCGGACATGCACGAGCACAGTAAAATGTAATTTCGAGAAGCTCAGTCCCCGTCTATTAAAAACACAGCGATAGATACACCTAGACATTTCTACAAACATCCAAAACCTTATACCCGAAGTCAAACACAACATCTTGATAACTTACGTATATCTGCGCGGAGATCCTAGCCCATAAGGAGAATGCGTGATGATATACAGATACAGAGTACTTCTTACTCGACCAAGACGGATGCATAAGTTGGTGTTGGATCGACTTGGCCAAATCAGCCATATTAGTATGAGGATCCAGCTGTGAGAGATCTACCGGCAACTGTACGTTGACCATGTTCGAAGTGAGTTCGTAAGCGTCATTATCAAGTAGACAAGTGCCCCACAACTCAGCGAGTGCTTTACCAGACTGGATAGCCAGACTGCTGCAATACTGATTGATGCGCGCCTCGCCTCCGATTTGCTCCCGATAATCTAATGCACAGTTTACACTGAGATAAGCGGTGAGATCCATCGTACCGCTCCAAGAATGAATTGTTGCAAATGTGAATCCTCTGCCACTACCCGTCACATCTGGGGCGTTGTAAAATGGTCCTGTCGGCATACTCGACTTGAACAGCTTCTGGTTTTCTTTGGAGACGTACATCACCCCACAACCACGCTGCGTGTATAGCCATTTGTGGCAGTTTGACACCCAGAAATCTGGCTGTGCTTCTTTGAGATCTACATCCTGATGGCCGATCTCCTGTGCTGCATCCACCAAACTGAGTACTTGGTTTTTTCTACACACATCCACTAGTCGCTGCCAAGGCAGCCTGCAGCCGGGTTTGGAGCTTATCGCATCTATCAGCGCCAGTTTGGGACTGGCTGAGCCCATCAGGGTTGTCTCAAAGCTTGCGATAATGTCGTCGTGTGTAGTTGGGAACGATAGAGGTATAATTGTCATTCGCAGGCCGGGGTTGTTGTCGAGAACAGATCGGCAGGCATTTACGCAGCTGTTCGGACGTTAGCGGTGTTTAAGGTACGTGAAGCATCTCACACCTTGGATAAGACGTACTAAACACAAAGATTTCATCTTCCGGGTTGAATTTTACGTTTGCCAGTACTTCACTGACACCATGTGTGGCATTCTAGGTGTGTCAGAAGTCATCAAAGCGTGTCATTAAACCCACCGGTACAAACACCAGATCCTCATCGTCGCAATTCACCAGCTTAGACAATCTTCGCCGTGCTTGGTTGAGGGGTGCCTCGTACTCCGCCTCAACATACCACAAGTCCGGGTTAGCCTCCACTTTATCTTGTATCTTCCTGTAGGCTTGCATTACGGGTTTGGGGACAGCGCCAAAAGAACCTGTGGGTTGTGAGGGAGGTTGTACGCAAGACATCATAACAACAAACCGTGATTCAGATTTACTGCGATCGGTCGTAAGCGAGTTCCATCCATGCTCATGAGACCCACCATAGTCATCGCTAAAGAAGAAGTCTTGCCTTCTGTCTCTCCCAAACTCTGACGCTCTGGGTTTTGGTGTCTGTGCACGCGAGCCTGATTCGCTGCTATCCAGCCTTTTATCATCTCGGAGGAAGGCAAAGTTCGTTGAATTGTTATCGGGGGTATTATCAGGGTTGTTATCGGGATTGTACGTAATATAGTCCAGCTTAACCCATTTGTGCAGTTTCTCTTTCACAAAAGCGTCAAAAGTCCACAGCGTTTTTTCCAGTCGCTCGCTCCCGTCTCTCCAGACGTAAACCTCGCAATCGACTTGATCGATGACATCTCCAGCCACCTTGGCGGTCGAAGGCTTCCAATCTTCTGAGCAAATCTCTTTTGGCGTTATCCTGTAGGCTTTCGTGGCCACTCTATCATACTCGTACCCTTCAAAGCGGTCAAATAGACTGATATGCTCATCTGTAAGCCCTTCGATAAGAGCTCCGCGTACTGTGGATTCTTCTTCCGTGAGACTTCTCTCGAGTATTGCTTCACTGTCTGTGGTGATTGCGGGATAGTCTTCTCCGATTACGTGGTGTCGCGTGTAGCCAAACAGCAGTGCATTCGATATCCTCAGCTGGGAGAGATTATCCTGATTGAGGACACTCTTGACTATCTGGGGCACCATCAGTGTACCATAACACAATATCGTGCGATTCCCGCTTTTCGTATGCACGGCCATGATGACTTTATTAATCAACGGAAGTTGGCAAGACAAGCGCATTGCACAGAAATATACAAAAAACAATGTGAATCACCTATAGATACATTTCCCAAGTTCATCGTGCATTACATTGATTGGCCACCGCGCAAACGCAAGACCAAGTGAAGGGTGGACTCCTTTTGGATGTTGTAATCAGAAAGAGTCCTGCCATCTTCCAACTGCTTGCCAGCGAAGATGAGACGTTGCTGGTCTGGCGGAATACCTTCCTTGTCTTGGATCTTAGTTTTTACGTTGTCAATGGTATCTTGTGATTCAACTTCAAGCGTTATCGTCTTTCCAGTGAGCGTCTTGACAAAAATCTGCATACCACCGCGTAATCTCAACACCAAGTGAAGTGTTGATTCTTTCTGGATGTTGTAGTCAGAAAGTGTGCGACCATCCTCAAGCTGCTTTCCAGCAAAAATGAGACGCTGTTGGTCGGGTGGAATCCCTTCTTTATCTTGAATCTTTGTTTTTACGTTGTCGATAGTATCTTGTGATTCAACCTCGAGTGTAATTGTCTTCCCAGTGAGTGTCTTGACGAAGATTTGCATACCACCACGCAATCTTAAAACCAAGTGGAGGGTGGACTCCTTTTGAATATTATAGTCAGAAAGTGTACGACCATCTTCAAGTTGCTTTCCAGCAAAAATTAGACGCTGTTGATCTGGTGGAATACCTTCTTTGTCTTGGATTTTAGTCTTGACGTTGTCAATCGTATCTTGAGACTCGACTTCAAGCGTGATAGTTTTGCCAGTGAGTGTCTTGACGAAGATTTGCATACCACCACGCAATCTTAAAACCAAGTGGAGGGTGGACTCCTTTTGAATATTATAGTCAGAAAGTGTACGACCATCTTCAAGTTGCTTTCCAGCAAAAATTAGACGCTGTTGATCTGGTGGAATACCTTCTTTGTCTTGGATTTTAGTCTTGACGTTGTCAATCGTATCTTGAGACTCGACTTCAAGCGTGATAGTTTTGCCAGTGAGTGTCTTGACGAAGATTTGCATACCACCACGCAATCTTAAAACCAAGTGGAGGGTGGACTCCTTTTGAATATTATAGTCAGAAAGTGTACGACCATCTTCAAGTTGCTTTCCAGCAAAAATTAGACGCTGTTGATCTGGTGGAATACCTTCTTTGTCTTGGATTTTAGTCTTGACGTTGTCAATCGTATCTTGAGACTCGACTTCAAGCGTGATAGTTTTGCCAGTGAGTGTCTTGACGAAGATTTGCATACCACCACGCAATCTTAAAACCAAGTGGAGGGTGGACTCCTTTTGAATATTATAGTCAGAAAGTGTACGACCATCTTCAAGTTGCTTTCCAGCAAAAATCAAGCGTTGCTGGTCTGGAGGAATTCCTTCTTTATCTTGGATCTTGGTCTTGACGTTGTCTATGGTATCTTGTGACTCAACCTCAAGGGTTATTGTCTTACCGGTAAGAGTTTTGACGAAGATTTGCATACCACCGCGTAAACGCAAGACCAAGTGAAGGGTGGACTCCTTTTGGATGTTGTAATCAGAAAGAGTCCTGCCATCTTCCAACTGCTTGCCAGCGAAGATGAGACGTTGCTGGTCTGGCGGAATACCTTCCTTGTCTTGGATCTTAGTTTTTACGTTGTCAATGGTATCTTGTGATTCAACTTCGAGCGTAATAGTCTTTCCGGTGAGGGTCTAGAGGTGAAACGTGAGAGTGGGTCGAGTGGCCAGATGAAAATTCTCACCTTTACAAAGATCTGCATACCGCCACGCAAACGGAGAACCAAATGAAGGGTGGACTCCTTTTGAATGTTGTAGTCTGCGAGGGTTCTACCATCCTCGAGCTGCTTACCAGCGAAAATGAGGCGCTGTTGATCAGGTGGGATACCCTCCTTATCTTGAATCTTAGTCTTTACGTTATCGATAGTGTCTTGTGATTCAACTTCGAGGGTTATAGTTTTGCCTGTGAGTGTCTGTGGCGTGTTAGAGGGATTAAATCGGAGTGGCTGGGTGGCGTACTTTAACGAATACTTGCATCTGTGAGTGGTGTTAGTGGGTGTGCGTGGATGTACATTTCATTTGACATACGATGATCGCCGTTTAGGTATAAGAGTAATTAACTCGACAATCGCCCCTATCTCCGGAATAAAATTAAAAATGGGAACATATGATGTAGCTTTGTGAATTAAATGTGAAATATAATTATTCTAAAATACTAGGAATTTGAACACCAATTCTAAATAATATTACATCTGTAATCTTACTAAACTCCTCTGTCTCCTTTATCTCCTCCATCTAATATGTCAGATGCCTTCAGTTTGCTGACCAAATCCGGTACTTTCTTTAATAAAAACAAGTTTAATAATGATATAAAGCTGTTCAATGTTAGTTCTACCTTTTTCTCCGCTTTTCCCGGCTTTTCTTACAAAGCGTAGAAATCTCAGCGACAAGACGCTCAGCAGGTCAATCAGCATGACACACAGCAGCTCCCAAAAGATTTAGATTTCTTTGGAGACTTAAAGCATTCCGACAAACCCGTTAAACCCGCTAAGCAGCAATCAGAAACTCAGTACACACAGTACACTCCACCTACGATCGATGAATCCAACAAGCTTAGGAAGCAAATGCATGTTAATGTATCGGATAATGCTCAGCCTCCACTAAGATCTGTACAAGAACTCAAAACAGCTCTCAACTTTGAAAATTACTTGATGCGCAATATCAGCTTCTTAAATGAGCTCACTCCTGTTCAATCTCAAGCTATTCCACTCGCTTGCTCTGATAGAGATGTTCTCGCCGTTGCTCCAACTGGCTCTGGTAAAACTCTCGCTTACTTACTCCCTCTTCTCCACACGCTCGCACAACCAAAGAAAGAAGGTTTCAGAGCTGTAATCATCTCTCCAACCCGTGAACTCGCTCAACAAATACGCAACGAGCTCGCAAGAGTTGGTATTGGCAGGAGATGGCGTGTTTCCATTCTCAGCAAAGCAAACCAAGCTACTATCAAGTCTGATCCTTCAACACGCTCCAAGCATGACATCCTCATTTCCACCCCTCTCCGCCTTAAACACGCGATCGAGTCTGAGGAAGTAGATTTGTCAAACGTGCGCAACCTCATCCTCGACGAAGCTGATAGATTACTCGAAATGGGTTTCGTAGATCAGGTAGATACTATCGTTGGCGCCTGCTCTCACCCTTCACTGCGCAAATCTCTCTTCACAGCCACGCTGCCAGCCTCAGTTGAAGAAATTGCACAAAATATTCTCCGCCTACCAGTCAGAATGCTTATTGGGCGCAAAGACGCAGCAGCTCAAGGCGTTAACCAGAAACTAACCTATGTCGGTAGAGAGGATGGCAAGCTGCTCGCTCTCAGACAGCTCGTTCAAGAAGGACAGATGAAACCGCCTGTGCTAATATTCGTGCAGAGCGTCGACAGGGCGAATGAACTCTTCAATGAGCTTGTTTATGATGGAGTCAGAGTTGATGTCATCCACGGTGAACGCACACCAGCTCAGCGAGACGACGTAGTGAGACAATTCCGCAGAGGTGATGTGTGGGTGTTGATCGCCACCGACGTTCTCGCACGCGGTATAGACGTACAGGCTATCAATCTCGTACTTAACTACGATTTTCCTCAATCCCCCGCTTCGTATGTCCATAGAGTCGGTCGTACGGGCAGAGCTGGCAGGGTCGGTCAGGCCATCACCTTCTTCACTAATGACGACGCTCCATATCTCAAATCTGTCGTTAATGTCATGAAAAGCAGCGGATGCGACGTGCCTGAGTGGATGCTCAAACTTAAGAAACCTTCAAGCAATCAGCGCAAGGCTTTGAAAAAGAGACCGATCGAGAGAGAGACCGTTCACGAAGCTGCTGGTACCAACGTCGGTAGAGAGGATGTAAGAAAACACAAACAAATTGTCAACGCTTCCAAGCGGAGGAAGGTGGCGAATGAGGTGAAAGAGCAGGATCAGCACCAGGAACAGGACCAGGAACACAAGCATAGTGATGATCAATCTCGATAAAGTATAATTTTATTACTTATAGAATATAATTTATTTGTTGACTTATTGCTCGTCGTGTTTAATCTGTCTAATGATATTCTTGATAACATCGACAAGGTGTCCTAAGATATATTTTCACAGTTTGATGATGATGAAAAAATTATTCTATCAAAAGCAACAAAACATTCTGGAAAAAAAGCAAAGATTAAAGAATTGAAATCTCGCAACGAGATCACATCTTTGTGCGCACGAAGCAACTATTCGTTAGCAAACGAACCCCCACATTTTACTGCAGTGTCGCCGAATTCGTCTTAGATGCGTATGATTCTAATAAATGCAACATTGATGTCATTAATCAAACGGCTAGGACATCACTAACGCATGAACAGAACTGTACATGATTTTACAATCGATACTATTGCTATGGAAGAGTATGAAGATGTTCAACACACTTTATGTTATCAGGACGACGTTGAATTTATGACAAGATAGCTATTCAATATTCAGGAATGTTTTTCGAAAATTCCACACTTTTTCCCGATTTTCCAATTAAATTACCAAGAATTCTCAAAATTCGTTGTTTGAAAGTTTATGGGCGGTGTATGACTTGAAAGTTGATTTGAGCAATATCAATGATAATTTTAAGAGATTTTGCAAATTTCTGATTTAAAAATGACGTAATATCGCAATAGACAAATTCGCGCAGTATTTGCCGCTGTCGATTATCTTTCACTTCTCGATATCGACGAAAATCTTGATGGCGCCTCATTTGAGGTAATAAACCATCCAAAAAATGAATCCCTAAAAACTACACTGTCTTTCAATAAATATTTATTAGGTCTCAACCAGATGTGTTCGTTTCGGTACATTTAATCAGCTCAAAGATTTTCAATCGAGACCGTGTGCGTGGATTTTAACGAAGCAACTTTTGAATCTGTGGAAGAGCTTAGACTCAAAGATGCTCTAGAAAGTATCTCAAGTATTGTAAGACTTTCATGATCTTTGAGAAAGCTCACTTTAAGCTCAAATAGGATCCATCCTGAAAATTTCGATCCGCATCCTGATTGGATGGGCTTACTTTGTTCAAAGATTCAATAATTCTTGATTTAAGTTCTTTTAACTCATTCTAATTTTAACTAAGGATTATATAACAAGGCTATGCCAATCTTAGAGGAGTTTAGAATAGAAAGTAGGAATAAAATTACAGAATCAATTTGAATTTAAGTTCAAGCATCCCTACTGGCAATAAAACGGCTTTTGGTTCCAAATCAAATCTCAAACCAATTTTCAATATACCATTGCTGTATATCTCATGAAACATTTTATAATGAGTCG